AACCTACTAGCGATGACCTCCAACTTTGCTTTTGCTGTCACTTTGTGTCTATGGTCCACCGCCTACTAGAGATGGCCTCCAACCTTAGGTCTTGGCCCCCAACAGCTTTGCGTTGACCTCCAACCCAAAACCGATGGCCTTTAACCTACTATTTCCTGACACCTCAGGCCTTTTTCCCAAAAGCATTGCGAAGGGTTCTTCCGGAAAATCCCTTGAACACTGACACTTCGACACTTACACTTACACACTGACACTTCCACCACATTCGCACTACATACACTGACACTTCGACACTTACACTTACACATACACACTGACACTCTACATACACTGACACTTCGACACTTACACTTACACATACACACTGACACTTCCACCACAGTGTAAGGGGAAGAGCGAAAGCATCCAAGTGCAAAGTATGCAAGTGTCAAAGTATGCAAGTGTAAGTATGCAAGTGATGGGTATGCAAGCACGCAGTGTAAGTATGCAAGTGATGGATGCGCAAGCATGCATTGAGCATGCAAGCATGCAATGAGTAGGCAAGTGTGAGTATGGAAAACTAGCACGGGAGATGCCCTAATGAAAAACATTTCCCCACTTTATAAATTCTCTCTTAAAGGCGGAGGGCGGGGCGAACAGCATCAACCGAAAGTGCAACCCTCTGCGGAGATCGTGCGCGTCGAGTGCGCGAAATGCAGGCGAGAGTGCGATTTGTCCGGTCCGCGCGCAACCCTCTGCGGAGATCGTGCGTGTCGAGTGCGCGAAATGCAGGCGAGAGTGCGATTTGTCCGGTCCGCGCGCAACCCTCTGCGGAGATCGTGCGTGTCGAGTGCGCAAAATGCAGCGAGAGTACGATTTGTCCGGTCCGCGCGCAACCCTCTGCGGAGATCGCGCGTGTCGAGCGCGCGTCGAGCGCGCGAAACGCAGGCGAGAGTGCGATTTGTCCGGTCCGCGCGCAACCCTCTGCGGAGAGGTTTTTCTGTCGACCTGCGCTTGGGCTTTTTGCCTCACTTCCGTTTAAGAACCCCAGGATCCTTTGGGCTTTCTCTGCAGACTTGCACTTGAGCTCTGATCGAACCAAGGCACTCATTTCTGCGGTTTTCAAAGAAAGGATGCTAACGAGACCCACCGGGTTGGACCGCATTCGGCGTCGGGTTTGAATTTCGGGACACTGTTGCGCACAGGCCCACTCATGAAGTCTGAGCCCTCCACGGGGAGGGCCATGTGTGTGTAACCCGCACTTACATGCGGTTGACGAGCTTCTTTAAATCTTATCGACTTTTGAGAGCAAGGGGATTGACTACGTCAGCGCGTTGCACTCTTTGCACGGATCTCAAGCTCAGTGTCCTAACTAAAACAGATAGTTTTACTTTTGTTTATGTCTCTCATGACTCACTCTTGCACTTGAGCTTTCGGCCTCACTTCCGCTTCAGACCCCCAGGATCGTTTGGGTTTCTGCAGACTTGCGCTTGAGCTTTTGGCCTCACTTCCGTTTAAGACCCCCAGGATCCTTTGGGTTTCTCGGCAGACTTGCACTTGAGCTCCGATCGAACCAAGGCACACATGTCTGAGGCTTTCAAACTAAGGTTGCTAACGAGACCCACCGGCTTGGACCGTATTCGGCGTCGGCCTGTTGGAATTTCGGGACACTACAATCACAGATGCATAGGCCCACTCATGAAGTCTGAGCCCTCCACGGGGAGGGCCATGCGTGTGTGTAACCCGCTCTTACACGCGGTTGACGAGTTTCTTTAAATTGTAACGACTTTTGAGAGTAGGGGGACTGCCTGGCTTGTAACAGTGGCAGTCCAACGAAGAGGCTGTTACAAGTCACTGATATGGATTCTGGACGCAGAATCCACGTACCTGCTTGACTTTTAACATTTGCCGAGATGTATAGTTCAGGGCTAGTTGCTTTCCGCAGGCACGTCGTAAAGGGCTAATGCATTACTCGATGGCGTCGCCAACTTTGCTCGGTTCTTCGGGCGCTCAAGGACACACTCTTGGGAGGTTCTGGGCTTTGTCGTCATCCTAACGCTCCAACTTCAAGACTCATTCCCCAGTCTGTGTCATTCTTGGAGTCACAGGGATACTGTAGGATTGTGTTCATTTCTTGTTTTTAAGTAGGGGAGTGCGGCATGGTTGTGGGACCGCACTCAACGAAGCCACCTTAATCATGGGATACCGAGTCTGATCAACTCGGCGTACCTGCAGTTTTACCAGAGCAACTTCCTCATGGACCCTGCTTGTAACTAGAACAAGAATTCCAGCCATTGCACCTGTTTGCATCGGCAGTCACGCACTTGATCTTGACTTTGAGCTTGCAGTTTGAACTTGGAGGTGAGGGCAGTCATTTGATGTTTTGTTTACCTGGACCCTTAGGTGTTTCACTTAGGATACTTAGGCTGGCGCGGGGCAAACCGCAACCAAATCAGCTCGCATTTCTATAAGTGTGTGGACGTCCAAGGCCCAAACGGAATTCTATATCAGCTCAATCAAGTTCCAATGCTCTCCAAGCTTCAAAAGTTCAAAATGGAACGACAAAAATGTCAAACGTCGAACGGCCAATGCACGTCTGCCAAAGTGAGGAATCGATGCAAAGGCCAATGATCTTGTTCTAGTGACAAGCAAGGACCAATAGCACAGGACCCACAGGCTGCGTTTAGATGCCCAGGTGCGGTCAAGAGCAGGTACCTTTGCACAAGAACTGCATGCGTGTCTTCGTTGGCTCTTGTCCGAAGGCCCCTTGCTAAACTCATAACTCCAGGGTGTACGCGCACACACTCTTATATGAATTGCGCGCACTATGGTGTGGCAAATACGGTCCATGGGGCTGATGGTGCACATGTTGCATGTTCGACAGCAAAGCTGCCTGGGTTGTAGAGCCCTTCTGATCAGGCAGGGATAGCCTCTTGTTTGCGTCAAGTCTCTGTCTCTGTGGTCTCTCGTGTGTAGGGTGAGTGCGCCCTCCGTTCTTTTGGTTTCTCGTTTTGTCCCAAAGACTCTGATTCGCGCGCGGGGTCGAGATTGAGATTTTTCCTACCCAGCGGGTGGGCCCCGCTTGGGTCTGACTTCTGCCCATTAAGCTCCCTGCGCGGCACGCTCCTGGAACTGGGCGTTTGCCAAAAGAGGCACGCGACGGGAAAACGTTTTGCAGCACGTTCTTTGGAGCTTGATGTTGGTCCACTTCCGGAACACTTGGCTCGAAGAAGTCCAAATCAAGAGCCAAAGCGTGGCAAGATGAAACTTGATCGTTTTTACAGACTTTTCCCGAGAGCGCCTGAGCGAAGGGCTCTTCTTAAAGACAAGAGCAAAAACATAGGGATCATCATCATCATCATCATGGGTCATGATCATACTGTTGATGGACGAAATCCTGCACCTGTGGTGGCCCCAATGTTAACGAGGGAGAACGAGGGCAGCAAGAAAACTGCCCGCAAAGTGGTGCAGCATTTTGTTCATCAACAGTATGTCATTATCATCGTCATCACCGTCATCATCATCATCATCTGCATATCTTCACTTCTGCAAATCCCTCTTCTTCACAGCTGCACATCTTCACATCTTCGTATCTCTCTCTCTCTCTCTCCCTCCCTCTCTCTCTCTCTCTCTTTCTTTCCTCTCTCTCCTTCTCTCTTCTCTCTTCGGCGCCACAAAACGCAACGCTCTCGCATTCATGCGTGTTAAGGTGTCCAAGTATAACTCAGGAATTTGGCGTTTTCAATTTGTAATTCGCAAGTGCGTGCCAAGTCTCAAAAACTGCAGGAATATGGCGACTTCAATTGATAACTTGCAACCGTTTCGCGCGAACTGCATGCATGCCAAGTGGGGAATATGGCGATTTCAATTTGTAACCCGCAGCCTTTTTGCACGAAATGCGTGTCAAATGTCAAAATCTGAGAGAATATTGCGAGTTCAAGGTGTGAACAGTGAAACCTCTTTCGGAGATCGCGCGTGGGGAATAGTGCGAGTTCGAGGTGTCCACGCTGAACCTAGATCGCGCGTGTCGAGTGTTGAAAAGTGTGGCGGATGTCGTCACAAAGTGGAACTGTCGTCGAAAACGACAGTGGAGGCCCAAAGTGTAACTGCCGTAGCCGTCGTCGAAAACGAAGGTGGACATCGTCCAAATGTGTAACTGTCGTCGGAAACGAAGGTGGAGGTGAGCAAAGTGTGTATATTGTCGAAAATGGAAGTGGAGGTTGCAAAAGTGTGTAAGTGGCCGTCGAAATGGCCACTTTGTAGTACAAATGTAGGGCTGTACAAAAAGCAGCTTCGGGGAGCTGGCTAGTGAAGTAGTCTGTGGTACACCGAATGGCCAAATGTTGTTTGTGACGTCGCTGTGCCATGATTCAGGGCAAGAAAACAACAACATGTTTGTGTAAATTCCGCATGCCGCTGGGCAGCGGAATGATTGGCGGCCGCTACGACCCTTAATGTTACATAGTCTGTTGCATACCGTATACGGCCAAAAAATACGTCTGCGATGTCGCTGTGCCATGCAGTTTTGTGCGGACTCGGTGGAAAATGCCTTTCCGTGAGTCTGCGCCCATGGAAAGAAAACATGCTTGTGTAAATGCAGCGTGTCGCGGGGGAGTGGAATGATTGGCCGTGCCAACGAGGCTTGGTGTTACATGGTTGGGGATTAATTACATCTGTGATGTTGCTGCACATGCAGATTTACGCGGCCTTGGTGGAAAGTACGCTTGCATCAGCCCGTGCCACGAGGGAACGGGAAACATGCGGGACAACAAACATGGACTTTAAGACCTCTTCACAGGACCCGAATCCACACATTTTACAGTGAAACTGCGCATAAACCTGTGTCAAGATCGATTGTAAAACGTTTTCAGGAGGACTTGAATCTGCACATTAAACTGTAAATATGGACGTAAATACCGACTGTTAGATTTATTCGGGACAGGACCTGTGTGCGCACCAATTTGTTAACCCTTGACATATAAACCTGTATAGACATTGGAAATCGTCTTCGGGGCAGGACGGCATGACCTGAATCCACACAATTTTGCTGGAACTGCACCTCTCTGCTTTTTGTTCATCCCATCCTTTTCTGCTCCTCTCTTTCACTTTCTCTTTTACCCTCTCCCACCTCTCTTTGCTTTACAGTTTCATCATCATGCAAGCACGCCTTACGCCAGAGTAACTTTACGCCTAAAAGCTCTACCTAAAAGCTCTCGGGCCATCCGTCGTCTAGAATGAAAAATGAATGTTCAAAGTTCAACAACGTGCTGACGAGTCTTCCTCCAGCTGACGCCTCAGCCCATCCTCCAAGTCAAAATCCACGCCACGAGTGGCCTTGGTGGCTTTCACTGAGAAAAATGCGACCGACTCCACGTGCGACATTAGTAACAAGAAGCTAGTAGTAACAAGTGCCACGCTAGTAGTAACAGGATGCTCAGAAATCCGCGTTGACTCCCTTGTGCGCACAATCGCCAGCATGAGGGCCTTTTGGACCACGGCAGCGAGTGCAGCATGTTGTAAAAGACCCGAAAGATCTTCTTCCTCAGCACACCCACAGCGAAGAAAGGGTAATTCTTCACTCCGATTGTCTGCTGCGCAGTCTGCACCGAAATCTTCACAAAAGCAGCATAGTGGCTTGCTATGTCCGCATTGCCTGAGCCACAGACCACATCCTTGCTCACACAATGGGCCACTTGTGTGGCTCGGTCTATTCTTGGTGCTACAGTCCTGCGAAAGCGACAGCTTCTTTGGTTGAGTTCTTCTAGTGGAACAGCTTTGCTCTTGGCTTCAGGAGCATTGAGGATTCTCTTCGAGAATGTCACACATCTCCTTGGAATGAGGGCCCTCGTTACCCTGGCAGGACCTTCGCCAAAATAATCACTTCTGGACAGTTGGATCAATCTGCTGCGAGCGCACCGACAGCATGTAGTGCGCCCAGGAAAGGCTGTCCAACCTTGACAATGCAGCAGTTTTGAAAGTCAGCAAGTGGGTCGTGATTGTCAGGAGGTGATCTTCAAGGGTCTTACTCACCTGGTACGAAGTAAGGCATCAACCACATCCATGCTGGCACTCTGGTCCAGTTGGCCGCAAACTCAGCTTTACAGCTACAACTGCCACATTGCCTGAATAAAAAGGCTCCATTAATCATGAAAACGCATCTTTGAGACGAGAAGCTCTGGAGCAGGAGCAGGGCAGGTTGCCATTTGCTGAACACAGTTTCGAAGGCATGCGTCAAGGCTGTCTGGCATATGACTATGTCAATGTGGATTTTGCACGGTACGGTGCTATGGTCAATGGGCACAATAATCAATCCGCACTTGCGTGCTAAGAGTTGAAATAAACAAACAGCAAGAAAGGAAAACCCACTGCCGCCTCAGTAGATGCAAATTGTCCACACCCCAGATATGAAGGGCGACAAACCCCACGACCCCAAATATCCTCAATACATAAGAGGTTGTACCACAGGATCCGGATGTAGAGGCACACAGCATTGCACACAAGCTTGGAAATAGAAAGCATGGTGTTGTTAGAGTCTTACAACAAAGCATATGGCATATGTAGTGTTCTCTGATGTGTTTCTTCTAAATATGACTTTACCTCAGTCATTGCTTGAGGTGGGAACCAATCCTGGCACGCATGTGAGTGTGAAAAAGCAACTTCAATGAATCACACAAGACCATATAAAGCAAACCTCTCAAAAAGCCAGTCTTGTCTGGATGCCGGCTCAAAGGCTGTGAGAACTAAGTCACGGTACCTTCAGCATTGTAAGCAACGGAGCGGCTGATGGGAGGTTGAGCGGCTTACTGTATGAGTAAGGAGTGGACTTCATGTTCAGAGGGGCATCTTCTGAAGGTCTTCGACGAGCATCTGCACATAGGAAGAACCTTACTAGAAGAAGCAATCAAAAAGAGAATCCAGCAGATTGTTTGTGTTGCTTGGGTGCTCACTGGAGCAGCCCACGAAGCACCTTTTCATCCTGAACTTCAAAAGCAGCACACCAAGTGACCAAGTGCACAAATAGCACCAATCTCACGCACTCTCCTCGGTGAGCTCCATCACTGGACCTACCAAGACCACATGCAAGAAGAATGCTAAAATGTTTGGTTCTGGAATTGTTTCTCTTGCCAAGCCTTCAAAACCTGCTCACAATCCGCTTTGATGGTACAGCATGGAATGTTCTTATATACGTGCTTATTAGATACTCTTGGTGGTGTCTGGATGGTCTGCCAGGCCCTGTGAGTGTTCATAGACATGTTCCCAGTTTCTTGTTCGGCAAGCTGCTCCTAGCGTCCAGTTGTCTAAATCAGCTGGCTGTAATAATTGTCCCTGCGGCAAGCATCACTTCAATTTGAATTAATAGTGGTGACCAACTATATAGCGCTTCGCTTATCTGTGAGTCTAGTCTATGGCCGATATTGTGGCAATGACAACTGACTTAATGTAACTATCCTATAACGGTGGTGCGCATCGCATCCGCTGTCAATCTGGCACGCTCTAAGCTTGAAGTCACCCAAGTCAATCTCAATGAAAAGGCTGCATTGTCAATTGCACAACTGTATTAGTAGTGTCATAAGGCACTTGTGCAACATCCTCCAAACCAGTCTCGCAATCCACCCGCATTTACCGTGCCCACTGCTGAGACTATTTTGGTGAAACGTGTTTCCTTTCAGGAGAAGGCATTTATATAAGCACAACTGCCAGAACGTTTGCATTTATTAGACTTCTACACAGGTCGCAGAAACTTGCTCCGTTCCATCAGCTTCAGCCTCAGCCTTTCTTGGCCTTGCCACAAAAACGAGCAGTGGAATGCATCTGAAGAACTGCTGTCAGCGAAGCACTTCCACACCTCTCTCGTTACATATCGCCCTACTGAACTGAGCAGCCAAGAGGCAATGCGCTCCATAAACTGCTGCTCTCTCTGGGCCAATTTGGCCTGCTCGCCAAGACTGCCATGTTCAAAGGCCAAATGCAAAGGGAATCAGCCTCGAGTCTCGCTTCAGTCATACGAAGCTTCTCCTCAATTCGGCATGAACTCACCGCATGCCCACACACATGACCATGCATCATGCCGGCTAATCTGATGAGAGAACACGCCTCCACAATCCGCTGGATCTCTTCTGATGGGTCCTCAAAAGTTTGTCAAGCACAACAGAATCACAATGTACTTCAGTTAAGCACCACCGCGGTGAATGACCTACAGGAATGGAACACACGCATTTGAGCTATGGCATCTATGATTTATTGGCTGTGTCCGTTGGTGCTGACACCATACGAAGAACGAACACAAGGCAACAACCTGCAAGCGAAAGGATAGGCGTGTGAGTTCCATGAAAATTCGAGGATTCGTTGGCAATGATCTCCCCCCGTGCGATCCATTACATCTCCAAATTTCAACACATCTCACTGTATGTGAATGCAATCCCAGGAACAACCAACAACCTCCCCTGGCCTCACCAGCACCTCCGGCTGTTTTCTCCTGAAGAAAATGCCGACAAAAACTTCTCATGCAAAGCAAAGAACCTGATTGATTCATTACAAAAACCGGGCCTCGGTGCTGATCCCTGTCCCGTCATCTTGATTTTCTGGAGTCTGCTGCGGTCTGCGTATTTAGGGCATGGCAAAGAACAGTCAAATACAATCTGAAACCTGAAGAACAGTGCAGAAGAAGAGCCTTCTGCTTGGTTTCTGTCTCGCGTTGGCCAAGGCGGGAGGCAGTATGGGCCTGCAAAACCAACTTTGCCGGACCACCAATCTAAAACCAAAGAAAAACAAAAGAGACGCACAAAGGTGCAACGGCCGCCTTTCCACCTCAACGCTGAATCGCAGTGTTTCCACATCCCTCTCTGATCGAGCACAGAATTGGTAGAGCAGAAAGTGCCTCCGCAACACTCTACGGGCCTTTCGTGAAAGTGTCAAGAAAAGCTCCAATTGAAAGTCAAAGAACTCTCCGTAATAAATTCTGCGAAAATGCCGGCTGCCATATAGGAGGGTATCGAGCTGAGGATGACACTTGAACAATGTTCCAGAGGTGTAATCAGTCAAACGCCGGGCCTTTCAGAGAAGGAAAATGGAACCTTTCAGAAAACTCTTCTGAATGTGTTTTGTCCTCCTGGACTCCAAAGATCGGCAAACCTTGGTGAAAAAACTCGCCACCCAGAAACCAATTGTCAACCGACCAACATAAAAATGGCCAGTGGGAGACCCTCAATAACAACGATGAGCATCCTGGTGAGTCAATGAGTTTCAGTGTGCGTGTCTGGGATTTTGCTTATGACATTGCAATCTTTATGACCACAATGAGCCAGAACACAGTTGTCTCAGGTTTGAGGCGCCAAAATTGATCTGTGCCACTTTTGAAGTTGGGATTTCACAGAAGGGCTCAAGGGGCAAGAAGAACACTACCAAAGGCCGGAAGTGGCCAGCCACATCTTGCTTCTCTTGCAGATGCAAATTAAACTATGAAATCTGGTGGCCAACTCCGGCTCCAGATCACGTTAGCCAGCGGCCCGCATGCAGCGGGCACCTTAGGGACTGCCAGTAGTTTAGAGCCCTGGGCGTAGTAGTGCCAGTGTACCTCCCAGCAAACTAAGTAGGTAAGGTCTGTGGAAGGATATAAGTTGTGGTGATAGGAATTATCCCTGATCAACGAATACCTGAACAAAGCGGTTTATGAAGCATCATCATCGAGGATACTCCAAGCTGTGGAGGTTGTCCTTATCCCTTGCAAAATTGATGATCACTAAAGTCCCGCCATCCTGGAGAGCATGCAATGGTATGTCGTATCTTGGTTGAGTTTGACACCACCGCAAAGCAGACCGCGGGGAGGTTGATCACCTCCGGTGACAAATTGTTTTGGTTGTGAGTTCAGGATGTGTTTCTGCTGCCATGAACACCGGAAGTACCGCCAGAAAGTGGAGATGCTTGGGCGCTTGGCCGGGACTTAGCGCAGACTGGGAGATAAATGTAAAGGATTGAAAGGCAAAGGTTGGCAGCCCGAGGCGGACATAGGAGCCCAGCCGAGGCGGATACACTTAAAAGCATTGAGAACCCAACAGCAAACTGTTTGGGGAATAATCAAATTCAAGCGCCCCAAAGTCACCCCGAAATCCGAACAAGGCGCAGCCAAGTGCATCACCAACAACACGCGACCAGAACAACTACACATTCTTGAGCAACCTAGCTAACAATCAATGGTTTCCTCGAACGTTGCCTGTTGCCCTGTCGTTGCCCCCTCAGTTTCTACATTTGTTGACCATTTACATGAGCGTTTGTCACACCAGTTTTTGAACTTTCCGTGAATCCCCGTACAGCGAACTGCCTTCTCAAACATTCTCTGGCTATGCACAAACTGCTAAAATGCTTCGGACTTTCGCAATGCATAGGTCGGAGTTTCGGAGTTGCAGTTTCAACCCTCCCCATTTTTTTTCAGTCTTCAGTTTGGAATGTAATCATGTAGTCCACAGCGCTTTCAAGCTGTCAGGATTCTTTTGAACCATGCCAGTCGACCCATTAGCCATTAGCCCTTTAGTGCTGAACTGATGGAACGGCTGGCGCTATGTACGCTGCGGGAACCCAAACCCAAACCTGAAACTGTGGCAATATTGTTTTACTTAATTGTCCTTTTGTGTTTCTTTCCAGAAAGATCGGAAAGGTCAAAGGCAGGAGCCTAGCGCTACTACCCTTCCACAACATCCAAATATCAAAAATAAATGTCCAAGCCCGGAAAAACCAAGCTCAAAATGATTGGACAATTGAACGGTGGAATGCAATTAGAGGAGATTGCAGCCGTAAAACATCACGGACTCGAGAATGATTCGTTCCGTCTGAATGCCACATGCCCAGAAGAAACCTTGTTCAAAAAAAGGGGCCTGAGTAAAACATGCAACGAGGTCCGACCATCCTGAAGTTCCAAGTGAAAATCAAAGTTGAGGTCTCAACATTTCCAAAACATGCAACGACGCGGAACGATCGACGAACACGTGTCTGCAGAATGCAAAACAGATGCAAAGGGCCCAGAAGGAAGTAAAGAGTCAAATATCATCTCAGCAGGTACACCGGAGTGATCAAGTCCAGCTTCCATCATTACGCATAGCTTCGTTGGCACGTGTTTGCGTAATGACTGCATGCCCCGGGCTGTAAAGGTAAAAGGCCAAAAGGCACCTTCTGAACCCAAAGTTACACACACACACACATGTGGCAGGTACGTCGACCCAGCGATCAGGTTGATATCAGAGTACGAATGGAGCGTCTTTCCATTTTGTCGCTTGTACAATACCAGTGGACCAACCTACACTGTTGGTTCGCCAACTAGGATGAAGAGTAGTGTGGTGTCGCTCTTGGCTTTTTGTCAAATGAATTTTAGGAGTCTGCAGAGATTGCAAACGCGTGCCGTGAACAAAGAAGTGTTGCACGATAGCTGCAGCACTTGCGCAACACCTCCAAAGGGTGCCAGCTCATGAACAGTTTATGAGCTCAGGCCGCCACGGCTTGGGGGATCGTTCACAGAGTGGATCAGCAAAAGTCGTTGAAACTCATTGAAGCACCTCATTTTGTGTATGAGCAATCATGCCATGTACACGGAGAAAAAACTGAGATTGCAAACTCTGATGCACTTGCACCCTGGCAACAGGATGCAAGAGGTCTCAACAGGAAATGCGAGTCTCAATTAGGACTCCTTGAAGAGTTTCAAGAGTCGTGAGCCTGTGAAGCTCCATCTGCCCACCCTGCCATTTTATCCTTGGCAAGAGGCAGGGTCCAAGCATTTCAAGAGTTGATAAAAGCGCAGCCACGGCGCGAGGATGGCTGCCATGATTGCATGGAATACTGCCCCTTGCCTGTCAGCAACAACCAGTTGGTTTAGCAGTCCAAACATTCTGCATGTGATTCAGCCTCTGTGTTAAGCACTGCATTTTGGAATGGCTGAGGTTGAACAGGTGAAAGTCGCAAATGATCTCCCTGGTCGCGCACACATTGCAGAAAAGAAATAAGAAACAACGAAGACAAAATCCATTCAGCTGCCTTCGAGCAACTGGAGGATGGGCCGCTTCTAAGCCTGTTCATGCAAAGAGTAAAGAAGAGGTGACAGTTGCAGCCGCGGCGCTCTGTCTGCATATTGTTGAAAGTTTGTAAAGAAACTGTGGACCAAAACAATGGCTCTCCACTGGGATGATCCTTTAGCTCAGCTTAATGCTGATTCATATGTCAACTCTGGGCCGATTTGAATAAGTGTGGCTCCAGCAAGCGACGAGTCCAACCAGCTCAGCCTACAACTCCATAAACGTTTGTATACATTTTGCGGGAAACAGTTCCCGTAAAGACCAACAAAGTAAAATGCATCTTTTGCCAGGAGTGTGGGACCCTGCAGCAGGCCCCAAAAGATTGTGGATAAATACTGCAGCTAACCATGCAAAAATTGATTCACCTTTCGATGGAAATTCGGAAACGAATTCGTCAAAATTCATACAATTTCTGACCTTTGGAGGTGGGTTATAGATTTACTGTATCAAAAATTAGAAGCGCTCAATCTCGGAAACGTTTCGGAACTTTGTTTTGAGGTGTTCACCCGTGACCGGGCATCTCGGACTCGGAACCCCCAAAAACTGGTCTGCACTTGGATATATATATATATGGATATGTATCTGCATCTTCGAAGGGAACAGTTTTGTGTAATACAAAATGTGCATATACAGTCTCAGTTGCCAAAAAACATTTCCAATGCACACAGCTTCTGGGACCCTGGCACCGAAGCAAGTGAATCCCTTCTATCACAAAAGTGCCCAAAACAATGCGTGGGTGTCACGGTCTTGGTCACGGCTGGTCGTGACCGAAAAGGTGACCCTGCACAATGGGTCCGACATGATCCGACTGGAACCCTGGAACAGTTCCACCACATAACTACTGGAAATGTATAGTAGTTCTGAAACTTGTTGCGCTAAGGAACCCCTTTCCCGGATACTTCTGAATGACTGGGTGGCTGATCGGCATTTTGGTCCACCGCTGCCGCTGTTGCCTCGTCTTCCCACCTGTTTCCTTACATGTCCCCTCGTGTGCTCCGCATTTTGTTTGCCGCTGCAGCCTTGTGTCTCCTTACTTGTCTTCTCATCTCCCCATTTGAAGCCTCTATGCTCAAAGGGGGCCTCCTGCCAGTGCCAGAGGGGCCGGCTCAGTCGCGCTTTGTCTTTTGCGCCAAGCCTCCTTGGATCTTTTTGCGTCACCCTCACTTGATTTGGTTGAACACTCGCGCCGGACTTCTCTTACGACTGGTTTGGGGCGTTTGCAATCTCGGATGCTACCCGTTAGGTCACCTCATTTTAACCGAAAAGCATCTTCCTAGTCACAACACAACAAAAAAAATGAAGAAGCCGCCAATACAAAATGACATTATAAAACTAAAACTTTGCGCTTAGCCACTGTGGCAACGAGGATTGTTCGCACCACCGCACAGAAGAGGGCAGTACACTTTTCAGCCTCTGACCGGGCGGCTGGGCGCTGCAGTACCCAACCGCTCAGCCGGGCGCTCCGTTCCTCTTGAGCAGATGGTGGGGGCGAGCAGCTTGCGCCTGAAGGATGGCCTGACCAGCTGCTGATGCGCCCACGGCGCTGTGTCTCTCTCCTGGCATCTAAATGAAAATCTGTCAAGCCAGACCAGCAGGCAGGTTCGTGGGGGTTCGTGGGTGGACCATAGACTTTGAACTCCTGATTGCTTCTCCCACGACGATCACCTATCTGTCTGCCACGTGTGTCAACCCTGAAGTTAAGTGAAGACTGAGAGCCTGGGGTCCCAGATTTTTGCCAGCCGCAGCACTTCGCTTTGATCAGAAATGACCGGGCCTTCACCTGGATGAAGATCCATTGAGCAGCAAGTCCGGCGTGAGATTGCCATTAAAAGGAATTTTGAAGATGGGGAGTTGCATCAAACTGATGAGCATTCAATGACTTATATGGCTGCAACTCTGGTAGAACTGAATTGTCCAGCGGGGCACTGTGCCCCTGGAAGATGTGACCAGCCCTCCTGGACCTAGCTTGGTGACATAATCTGAAAGTTCTCCAACTCTTGTGCAAAGTTGAAGAAAACATCGGCCACAGAACCAGGTGAGCCGCTAGAGCACACATCAACTTGCGATACAAGGTTTGAGGGACCTTGGATGGGCGTCTCACCAAGAGCGCTTCGTTGGGGAAGCTCCTCAACCTCCGTGCCGAAATTGAGCACCATAATGACTAAGTGAAGAGTTTGCTTTAAATGAACTCTTCGTTGGCAACGGAGAGAAGTGGGAGGCGGCGTCCTATTGAGTACTTGACACTCAGAAATCGGAATAGGGAATAAAGGCGACTTCGAAGTAGCACCATTTCGGCGCGTGCGCAGAATACTCAGCTAGACGACGGTGGGCCCGAGAGCGAGAAAGGCGACTGTCAAGCAATTCCGAGTAAGGAAATAGTTAAAATCGAGTTGTCCAGGAGCCATGACTTCTTTATACAATCTGTTATTGAGTAAGAAGTTGCGAAGAAGTTAGCTTCAAAATATTGAGAGAAAAGATATGTAGAAAGACAGAAAGAGAGGAGTGACAGTGTGGATGCGCAGGTGTGATAAAGATGCGCAGATGTGCGGGTGTGTGGACGTAAAGAGGTAGATCTGCGGATGTGAGCGTGCGACGATGTAAATGTACAGAGGTGAGGGTGTGTAGATGCGCAGATGCAAAGGTAGCGCGACGCTGGCAGACTCGGTTTCCTGCGATTGAAGCACCCCCTGCGTAGCAACTGGTACATTGGATTTGCCACCCCCAGGTTTGCGCCCAGTGGTAGCCAGACGCACATCCGCAGGGCGACGAAAGCAGACAGCCTGCGGACATCGCCTCATCAAGAGCGTGAGCAGTTCAGCCTTACTCTTCACATTAGCCAGCAACTGCAACCGACCCCCGTCCACCAACACCCGATCCAGTTCTCCTGTGTGATCAGCCAAGGTCACAGTAGCCAAAATGGGCGATTCTACTTCGTGGATGGTTTGGCAGCCCTGCTGCGCGTGGCGCCTGCAATGTCCAGTGACCGGGCCAACCTTTGTCCCGCAGTTCTTGCACGGAACGTGCGTTGGATCCCCCAGAATGCCCGCGACCCACACACTAGAAGCAATCCTGTCACACGATACCACCAATCATCCCGCTCACCAGCGACCTGCCGCGTTTGCACCAGCATGCTTCGCGCTCCCCAGTGGCACGGCGCCACGCAAACGCACTTCCCACCAAGGCCGCGCAAATCCGCATCGCACTGCGACATCACGGACGTAATTTCGCCACACGGTCTGCCCACACACTACAAGCAATCACACCACACGATACCGCCAATCATCCCGCTCACCAGCGACACGCCGCGTTTACACCAGCATGTTTCGCGCTCCCAGTGGCCCAGCGCCACGCAAACGCACTTTCCACCAAGGCCGCGCAAATCCGCATGACTGCGACATCACAAACGTAATTTTGCCACACGGTCTGCCGCCACAAGCTATCATCTCACGATGCCGCCAATCATCCCGCTCACCAGCGACGCGCCGCGTTTACACCAGCATGTTTCGCGCTCTCCAGTGGCGCGGCGCCACACAAACGTACCTCTCATCAAGGCCGCGTACATCCGCATGGCACTGCGACATGCACGAACGTAATTTCGCCACACGGTCTGCCCACACACTACAAGCAATCATACCACACGATACCGCCAATCATCCCGCTCACCATCGACACGCCGCGTTTACACCAGCATGTTTCGCGCTCCCGCGCCACGCAAACACACTTTCCACCAAGGCCGCGCAAGTCCGCAAGGCACTGCGACATCACGGACGTAATTCGCCACACGGTCTGCCCACACACTAGAAGTAATCCTATCACAGGATACCGCCAATCATCCCGCTCACCAGCGACACGCCGGGTTTACACCAGCATGTTTCGCGCTCCCCAGTGGCACGGCGCCACGCAAACGCACTTTCCACCAAGGCCGCGCAAATCCGCATGGCCCTGCGACATCACGAACGTAATTTCGCCACACGGTCTGCCCACACAAGCAATCATATCACACGATACCGCCAATCATCCCGCTCACCAGCGACACGCCGCGTTTACCCCAGCATGTTTCGCGCTCCCCAGTGGCACGGCGCCACGCAAAGGCACCTCCCATCAAGTCTGAGCCCGGCTCCGAAAAGCTCTCTCCCGCACTACATTTGCTCCACAAACTGGCCAGGTCTGACAGGTTCCTCCAAAAGCGCAGCGCCAAGTCTCCAAAACCAGCGTTTCGTACGAGACTTCCTCGCCCTTGACACGCACGATCTCCGCAGAGGGTTGCCCGCGACAAATCCAGAACGCACTCTCACCTGCATTTCGCGCCCTCGACACGCACGATCTCTGCAGAGGCTTGTGTTTCGTGGCGCTCAGGCGGCACCGCCCCCGGCCTTAAGAGAGAAAGAAAAGAAGAGCGACAGGATACGCAGATGTGAGATGCGCAGATGTGAAGATGAGCAGAGATGTAGGTAGATGTGCAAATTTAGATGCGCAGATGCGAAGATGTGAAGATGAGCAGAGATGTAGATGTGAAAATGTAGATGCGCAGATGCGAAGATGCGAAGATGAGCAGACATGTAGATGCGCAGATGTGAAGATGAGCAGAGATGTAGATGTGCAGATGTGAAGATGTGAAGATGTGGATGAGACGTAGTTCTACAGATGCTGTTTTACGAAAAACCCTTCGCAGGCGCTCTCGATAAAAGTCTGAAATCCGGCTCTGCCCGAGTTTGAGGAGCAAGCAAGGTTCTGCTGCGTCTGAGCCCGTCCAAGCTCAGCTGGTTGGGAAGGCGATCAACTGCAGACCTCTAAAAGAGGGCCTCCCACAGAACCAAATAGCTTCCCTGGCCTGGTAGCTGAGGATTTGGGAACATCTTCGGCAGGAGCACCGCCAGTGTCGCCTTTCTGCTACAACGCTTCTTGCCTTGAAGCTAAGAGCAGCATCTGAGCTGCCATTTGTTCCATCAGAGCTGCATTCGTGGCTCTCTTTGCAGGAGTTGCCGGCTTCTTCACAACTGGAGCCTTCTTCGCTGCATTCCCCGCGTGCCCTCGAGCCGAATAAAGGGCAGCCGCTTCATCACTTCTGTAAGTATCCAGGTCTTCTACAGTCAACAAAGCTGCACAGGCGACTTGTACCAAGGCGGGGCTTCATCTTCCTCGAAGAACGGCACTTGACAAATGGCGCACATTCAAAGCTAAGCCAGAGAAAGCTCCATGTGCCCCCCCCGTCACCAATTCAACCTCCAACCTTCGTCAATCACCCTGAAAGGAATGGTCGCAAGTCTCGACGAGCCAAAGGGGGTAGAGCAAACAACCCAGTCACTGATTCCACCATGGGTGGTGTCAGGGTAAGGACCATCAGTGAGAAATCCCCGCCGGCGCACACTTCATCCTAAGCCTCATACGAAGCACAAAACGCCTGGATCTCTGTATTGTCTGCAGCTGGCCGAGGTCCGTCCTCAAAGATAAGGTGAAACCCGAGCTCAACTTTGAAGGGCTGTTCGCCCTCAGGTTCAACAAGTTCCCAACCAGCAATTGAAATCACAGGCGAACTGGTAGTGCTAGATGGCACTGATGTAGTGGCTCGCTCAAAAGCAAATGACAAGCGTCTTAGGGCTGAAATCAACTGACTGATATCACCCTGCGTCACTGGCAAGCTCATTCACCTCCTACCTCATTCTTCTTTCCAGCAAAAAAGAGACAGTAGGTGCCAAGCCAAATTCGAGGCGGAAGTGCCAAAAGAAGAAGTGGAAAGCAATGAAACCACCAAAAGCGATGGCTGAGAGAAGGCCCAATGCAAAGCCAGCAGCAAGGCAGGGAAGACACGAGTGAGAACAGTGAAAGGGGCTGGAAATGGACTGGAGAGGTCCCGCTGCACACGCAAAAATATGCCGTTGAGAGGAAATGCACCTGCGTGAAGCTTTAAGGGGTCAGTTGCTTGCAGCCTGTCTGGCTTTGACCTGAGTAGTTTGCTGCAAAATCGCAAATGCAGGGGGGCAATGTTCGGAAGGTTTTGCCCATGAGAAAAGGCAAGCTTGAGCTTCAAGTTTCTGCTCTCATGCTGGGACAGGTTTACTGCGAACTTGTAGTGCAGGTAATGGGACATACTGAACAGCCTTGCCGGTTGGAGCAAAGCATGGCCCTCTGCCTCGTTGAAACTGTAGATATTTGATGATTCCCCAAGCAACTGCATCTTCCACTGCCAGAGATGGTGCATTCCGGATCATGAGTCTAGACTCTAGACCAAAAGTTGTTGGACCGCCCTGCATTATCGTCCTTCTTTCGGAGTCTGTAGGAGCTTGGAACTTCCAACCTACGAACCCTTACTTTCAGCCCACACAGAAAGCCTGCCTGCCAAAATGCAAAGCCACACATTTGGCACCCTTGGCGTATTCAAAACCTTCCAGAACTCTTGTATAGACTTGCTGACAACCTTGGAGAGCCTCAACTGATTGTAGGTTTGCGACCGATGCGAAGGCAAAGCGTCCACCACGGCTAAGACCCTAATCAGTGCTGTTGAGAACTATATATTTTATGGCAGCATCAAGCAGCTCAGCGCTATGAAAGCATTCGAGTCAAGGCTTCTGGATCCACAGAAAAAATAAATAGAAAAACAAGAGAGCTCCGAAACAGCAGGCCTAGTAGCTCCGTCAGCAGCTTTGACTGAGCAGCACAATCCAAAGACCATACACGACCCACATCCTCAAAGCGAAGACAAGTTGATAACTGCGAAAGTAAAGTGGTTTTGTCTGAGTCAAAATTGCATCTGCCGAGGTCATGACATTGGGGGTTAAAGGCAGTTTCAGGCCGGTTTCAAGCTCAGTCTCATCACCCTGCATAAGCAAAAAAAAGTCAATAAAGAAGTGAATGGATCCACCCAACATGTGTTGGTTCCTCGACAAGCTCTGGTTCTTCAGGCTCCACAGGTTCCTGGTGCCATCTGTGCCATCAGTGTAATGTCCGCAGGTTCGCTCGAACCCTACAAAAGGAAGCTCTGCCTCAACGGGCACCTTTTTCGGCGCCATTTGCACGGAAAAGGCATCTCGTTGAGCCAAAATTCACAGAAGAAGAGATAACTTTGAAGAGGACTCCAAGATAGAAGACTTTGACAAAGAGCCAAACCGTTTGTGGCACACTTCGCTTGCATACATCAAGTCACTGCATCTTCCCTTACAGTACCCAGAAAGGCTAGCCAGCCATTGTGCACAAGAATCTGAGATTTTGGTTCTGAGCTCATCGATCTCATCATTTGGAAGGCAAAGATCTTCTAAACTCGCGCAGCTTTGACACAATGGATTCCTGGGGCAACATGCTGGGACAGGATTGACACAGTTTTGCGGGCTGCTTCATTGTCCATCCCAAACATGGATTCAAGGTCCAAGTCGCTGTCGCTGCCAAGTCCACGGCCAGTGTTTGAACATTTCCTTCATACACCACACAACGCCCGTCGATCCACACATGGCTGACCTTCACCGTTCAGTGCAGCAAGATGTTGAGACGACACTGTACTGTATCAAGCCGGACACTTAGGTCTTGGAGGCAAGAATGGCACATTGATACTATTTTGGGTATCCTTCTGGACTATTCTTGTCCTGCTTGTGCATTGTGCACACAGAAAGCAAAAATCGCTGCAACTGCAGGTGAACAAAGAATAGGTATGTTCCACCAACGATGCATTGTCAGAAGGGACAGTACACACAACCACATCGTCCCGATGCTGCGGTTCTGATCTCTTGCTGAGTTTCTTGTTGTTCTTTCATTGTCTTTCAAGTCCTTGTCCCTTCATTTGATTCCTTTCAATATCTGCTCGCAATCGTTTCGGTATACATGTCATTTTTCGTTCTATCCACCGCACTGTCTGTTGATTCCTTGTCAATTCACTTGATTGCCATTAATTCTTGTGTTTCCTCGATTGCGGGCAAGCCCTTATCCTTGTGTGTGTGTGTCTTGGTTGTACGTTTTGCTTGGCTTCACATTATTTCAGTGTTCCATTATTATACATATTGTTATATAAATTGTTTTGAACTTGGCCTTGAAGCCGGCAAAATGGAAGAACCCCAAAAGCACCATCCTGCAAGAGGTGTATGAGACATCCTGGCATCCTTGACAACAGCCAAAGACCTGTTTCTTGTGCTTTTTGTTTCAACAATTTCAACATGTTGCGAGGTCTGTCCCACAGCTATGCAGGCAGGGTGGCTTGGCAGGATTTCCTAGAGGCTTCATCTGTGAATGCCAAAGTGTTCACCTTCGATCAACAAAGTGGAAAATAGAGGTTACAGTTTATTATGGATGGCATAATTAGCATCACCCAGCAGTCTTTTGCAAAAAGATTTACATTGCAAGTGTTGCTGCAGCGGTATTGATCTGTCGAAGTGTTGAGGATGCTGACACCATTTGGTTCCTGGTGTGGTTTTGCTAGAACGTCACCTCCTTGCCAAACATCTGCATGACAGTCAAATGTGCCTATTGTGTACTTGGCGTGGCAGAGCTCTTCTGTTGCTTCCTTAAATTGTGTCTCCTCCAAATGTACCGGTCTAGGGCAACAAAAAGGCCTCACCTGCCGGCTGTTCGTGTAGACGAGCTGGCCCAAGGGGTCAAAGACTGGCGATGCCTGGAGAGCTATCCCGAAGAAGTTACTGCACTGAACCACAGAAACGCATAAGCAATTGCTCAAGACCCGGAACAGTAGCCTCAATGCATCCAAGGTCAACAGCCACCATATCAGCAGCTTTCCCAACCTCAATTGTCACCCCATACACGAACAACGAACACCCAAAGAAAAGTGAAAGCATACCATACCAAGCCTTACCAAAAGTTTGGAAGAATGATGGATTCTCAAACAACTTTTTGAGTTTCAACCCTTTGCTACTAATCACTCAGGATTTAAAGTCCGTAGTGCCACGCCAACAGGACATTCCTGCGCTTGAATGCAAATACGGTCTTCTGCTATAGGATGGCGAAAGCTTCACTCCAGACTCCAAACCCCTCTTTTTCAGCTCTTGTAGAATGTTTGCAGACGGAAATCTTGACAGGGAACAATCAAGGAGGGAATGACTCCGATACAAAAAGCACGCCAGCATACCAAAGCTAAACCAAGGGGCACCAGCACCCTGGCTCCAAGGTGCACACGGCTACAAACGCCTCGCAGCAACACGCTGGAGCAGCAGGCGCCAGCACCAAAGCTCCAAAGCACGCACGATGGTAGACATCTGACAGAGGCTCCCTGCAGCGGTACCAGCACCCAGCAATAGCTCTCGCTATCTGGGGAAAAGCACTGAAGAGCGAGAAAACTAGAACGGCCTGGCCGGAGAAGCCCGACACTAAAGAAGGGCATCCTCTTCACAAGAAGAGAAGCTACAGTGTAAGGCTTTGCATTGAAGGCAAGCGCCCAACAATAAGCAACTCACCTAAGATAGGGATTAGACCTACAGCAAGAAAAGTTGGTAAGAGCGAGAGACAAAGACACTCAGCAAGCAAGTTGAGTTCAGTCAGTGAAGCAAAGACTCGGCGCTGAGGGGCTGCAGCCAAACCACAAAATAGCAAAGGAAGGCCCAATAGAGGAATTGGTTTTTTAGTGTCTTGCTTTCTGGCGGTGTCGTCTAAAAAATACTGAAGTGCTTGGCACACATGATCAAAGCCACCTCAAGCCTCGGGCATTTAACTATCCTGGTCCTTGAAGGAAAAGAATTACACCGGCATAGAGCCCAGACAGCGGGTGGGCATGACACGATGTCATCCCTGGCATGACATGATGTCATCCACGAAAGGAAATTACGCATACCAGAAAGGAATACATGCACCCCGATCCAGCACCGGCACCAGCACCAGCCCACCAGCACACCCACACAAAACGCCAATCCAGCAGCAGCGGCAGCAGCAGCAACACCCGCAGCAGCAACACCCACAGCAGCACCCGCACCAGCACCACCACCAGCACCTGCACCAGCACGCCCAAACAAAACGCCGGTCCAGCACCAGCACCAGCACGGGTAAAACGAAACGCCGGTCCAAGCTTCTAAAAAGTACACCAGCATAGACCCAGATAGCTAGGCAGAATCCCACGACCTGTTGACATGCGACTGGCTGGAACAAGATGCACGCAGCCTGCACAGCCAGCTTACGGCACCTCCACAGCGGCACCCAGCACCAGCTGGCGCTGGTGCCGGGTGGTGCTGTGAGCTGGCTGTGCACGTGTGGAGACAGGTTGCTGGTGCTATAGTGCTGGGCGCCGGTGCTGGGTGCTGGTGCTGGTGCTGTGGGCTGGCTGTGCGCGTGGTGGAGACAGGTTGCTGGTGCCGGTGCTGGTTCTGGGTGCCGGGCGCCGGTGCTGGATGGAGCTGGCTGTGCGCGTGGTGGAGACAGGTTGCTGGTGCTGGTGGTGTGAGCTGGCTGTGCCGGGTGGCGGTGCCGGTGCTGCACGTGGTGGAGACATGTTGCTGGTGCTGGGTGCTGGGCGCCGGTGCTGGTGCTGTGAGCTGGCTGTTCACGTGGTGGAGACAGGTTGCTGGTGCCGGTCAGCCAGGTCACAGCACCAGCACCGGCGCCCAGCACCAGCACCAGCAACCGCCAGCACCAGCACCGGCGCCCGGCACCGAGCACCAGCACGGCATCAGCAACTTGTCTCCACCACGTGCACAGCCAGCTCACAGCACCTGCAACGGCTCACAGCACCCGGCACCCAGCACCAGCACCGGCACCCCACCACGCGCACAGCCAGCTCACAGCACCAGCACCAGCACGGGGCACCTGCACCAGCACCAGCACGCGCACAGCCAGCTCACACCGGGCACCAGCGCACAGCCTGCTCACAGCACCATGACCAGCACCGGCACCCAGCACCGGCACGAGCAACCTGTCTCCATCACGCGCACAGCTCACAGCACCAGCACCGCTCACAGCACCCGCACCAGCACCGGTAGCCGGCACCAGCACCAGCAACCTGTCTCCACCACCACCAACCTGTCTTCAGCCAGCTCACAGCACCATGACCAGCACCGGCGCCCAGCACCAGCGCCGGCACCCGGACCAGCAACCTGTCTCCATCACGTGCACAGCCAGCTAGCTCACAGCACCAGCACCAGAACCCGGCACCCAGCACCAGCACCACCAACCTGTCTCCACACGCGCAAGCTCACAGCACCAGCACCAGCAACCTGTCTCGAAAGCGCGCACGGGCAACTCATTGTCATTTGAAGTAAGAACCCCATAGCTTCGCTATCTGGTGCAAAACTTGAGAAACACAAGAAATTACACCAGCGTAGACCCAGATAGCTAGGCAGAATCCCACGACCTGTTGACATGCGACTGGCTGGAGCAAGAATGTACGCAGCCTGCACAGCCAGCTTATGGCACCTCCCCGTCTTAAACGCGCGCTCAGCCAGCTCACAGCACCGGCACCCAGGACCACAACACCAGCACCAGCACCGACACCCTTTCGAAAGCGCAGCCAGCTCATTCTTATTTGCAGCAAGAACCCCATAGCTATCCCTATTTGGGTATGATCTTGTGCGTGTATGTTTATGCACACAGAAGTGTGCGTGCAAACAGCAAAGCCCGTAAGTGTCATTGGCCCAAGGCCAAGCAGTATCCAGCACCACTAATTGACTTTGTAGCATGCTTGAAGCAACGATCTGCAGGCGTATGACCTTGCGCGTAAAAGTTTATGCGCACAAAAGTATGCGCACAAACGGCAAAGCCCGTAGGCTTCACTCGCCCAAGGCCAAGCAGTACCCAGCACGACTATTGTGTGTGTAGCACGCTGAAACATGCTGGAACAATGACGTTGCGCATAAAACATTATTAAAAGTATGCGCGCAAACGGTACAGCCCTTGACAGCTGCCGGCCAAAACAGAAACTGAAGAGTGTAAATACCACACAGCGCTAATAGACAAAGAACGCTCAAGCGACAACACCGTATGATGTCGCGCGCATAAGTTCATGCGGCCCATGACTGCTGGCACTTCATTGTCAGAAGCGGCGCTTGGTCGCCCTTCACTGCTGCAAGCGGCGGTTTGTTACCCTTCACTGTCAGAAGCGGCGGTTGTTATCACTTCACTGTCAGAAGCGGGCACCAGCACCGGCGCCCGGCACCAGCACCAGCAACCTGTCTCCACCACTTGCACAGCCAGCTCACAGCACCAGCACCGGCAACCGGCGCCGGCGCCAGCAACCTGTCCCCACCACGTGCAGCACCAGCACCGGCACCCGGCACCCAGCACCAGCAACCCCAACAGCGGAAGCTTGGGGTCTCAGCCAAACTTGGCACTGGGCACTTTGGGGCAGTCATCCTGCGAGTTTCCCTGAGGTTCCGAAGTTCCGAGTGAAGGTTCCGAGGTTCCAAGTGAGGGTTCCGAGGTTCAAGTGGAGGTTCCGAAGGTTCCAAGTGAGGGTTCCGAGGTTCCAAGTAAAGGTTCCGAGGCTCCGAAGGTTCCGACGTTAAGGTTCCGTGTCAAGCGTCTAGAAAGTTCCAAGTAAAGGCTCCAAGTGAAGGTTCTGAAGGTTCCGATCGCGAGGTTCCAAGCAAATGTTTCGTGTCAAGTGCCCAAACACTTCCAAGTAAAGGTTCCGAATGAAGGTTCCGAAGGTTCCTAGTGAGGGTTCCGAGGTTCCAAGTATAAAGGTTCCAACTGAAGGTTCCGAAGGTTCCAAGTGAGGGTTCCGAGGTTGCAAGTAAAGGTTCCGAGTGAAGGTTCCGAAGGTTCCGAGGTTAAGGTTCCGTGTCAAGTGTCTAGAAAGTTCCAAGTAAAGGTCCAAGTGAAGGTTCTGAAGGTTCCGAGGTTCCAAGCGAAGGTTCCGTGTCAAGTGCCCAAAGAGTTCCATGTAAAGGTTCCAAGTAAAGGTTCCGAGTGAAGGTTCCGAAGGTTCCAAGTGAGGGTTCCGAGGTTGCAAGTA